ATTGGATTATATATATATATATATATATATATATATATATATATATACTTATTTTTAGATTTTCTTTAACTTAGATTATTATTTGAATATTTTATAAACTTTTTTATTTGTAGTTTCTAAGTTTGAATTAAATACGAAAACTTTTATATATTTAATTTATTTTTATTTTTTCAAATAAATATTATTAATTTAATTGTATTTAATATTAGTAAATTTGTATTTGGATTTAATTTATAATAAATTTGTATTTGTAATAATAATTAATTTAATAATAATGAAATGGAAATGTATTTAAATATATTTTTTAATTAATTAGGTAATTGTTTCTTTTATTTAAGTTTTTTTGTAGTGAATAAATTAATTATTATTAGTTTAATTTATTTTGAATTGCATTTTTTATAGTTTATTAATGATATTTAACACAATAATTTTTTTAATTTTTGAAATTAAACAAACAAATTATTGTTAGAAATGGCAAGAACACATGGTACATCTTTTAGTTCTCGAGGTGAGAGTTCTCGAGGAGAGAGTTCGTCGCAGGATGAAGCTCGGAGAAGACCTACCGTTTCTGCTCGTAGAAGTCGTGCAGCTCCTATCCAAGATGACCCCATAGCTGAGGAGCGAGCCGTTGAGGAACAAACATATGAGACGTATGAGACTCATGGTGAGGAGAATGCATTTGAGGCCCCTAACGACAATGATGATGAGGAGGAGCATGCGGATGTTGATGACATACAAGAGGATGTCGATGGATTTCCTGGAGGTCCACGTGATCATTCATTGCTGACGCACTATGTTCAGCACGTAGCTTATGCTATTTCCAAAGGCCGGGTGAGTACAAAAATAAAATTTATTATTATTTTTTTAATAGAAATTTTATTAAATATTGATGTGTAGGATCGAGGGGACACACTGAAGTTGATCTCCCACGGAAAAAAAAGTAAATAAGTTAGGACCATGCCACGAGGGAATTCAAGACATTGTGTTGAATTCCAGTTTGATGCCTCTTACGGGGATTTGTTATGATTACATTGATAAGGGGTTACTCCTCGGATTCATAGAGAGGTGGCATTTTGAGACCAGTAGTTTCCATCTCCCTGTAGGGGAGATGTAGATTACTCTTGATGACGTCTCGACATTACTTCACCTGCCCCTGATGGGACAACTGTGTGATTTGGAGGAGTTGTTGTTTGAGGAGGCTCGTACAACCCTTGTGCAACTGCTCGGCGTTGATGGTGGCACAACAGGTGCTGAGATGGAGGACGCACGTGGTCCGAAAGTCAAACTCAGCTAGCTTAGAGAGATATATGTTCAGAGGTGTGAGTCGCAGCATTGGGACTATGCTGCTAGAGCATATTTGTTGCATCTAGTAGGATGCACGATTTTTGCAAATAAGAGTGCCAGTTCCATACGCGTGTCTTACTTATTGTTATTTAGAGACGTACACGCGTGTGGCAAATATGCTTGGGGTGTTGCTGCACTCGCCTATTTGTACGAGCAACTCGGGGATGCGAGTCTTGCCTCCATGAAGCATATGGCTGGGTATCTGACTCTATTTCAGGTACAGTTATAAATTTGACATTTATTTCATGTATTTATTTTCATGTTCGAAGATGGATGTAATTTAATTGAATAATTATTTTTTTAGAGTTGGATATACGAACATTTCCCTAGCATGGGGAGGAGGCGATTGGTGACTTCTTACGATGATACCACACCACGATGATACCATAAATCACCCATACTATTGCCCAAAACTTTCTTCAGGCTCCAATGAGTAGATTCAGCCCTAAAACAAAAAAAAAAACCTTCAACAAGTGCAAATAAATATTTATCTACAAAACAAATAAATAAAATAACATTACAATATACCTATTTGTGGTTATGTTCCCTAAATGCATTACTTTGTTCGTCCAAAACTTTACAAAGTATGTGTTGTACGGAATAATCCAAGTCTGATTGACATATTCAAAGAACAAAGGTCATGAACTGCTTGCGTATTGAAAACCATTCACATACTAAGCAAACAAGCTTTCATCAGCACAGTCCATCACATTTTCCCATGCATCCATCAACACTTCCCAAACCTCAGTAAAATGAACTAACATTTTGCATTTAGCTTTAACATTTTTAAGGATGTGGAACCGACATAACATCTGATATGACTCAGGGAATACATTTGCTATGGCATTCATCAAAGCCAAGTCTCGGTCAGTGACAATGACTTTAGGACCACCCTCAGATGTTAAAAATAAACCTTTTAGCTTTTCCAAAGCCCATGTGAAATTACTCTGCCTTTCAGTAGACAAGAAAGCAAATGCTGCTGAGAAGGTTAACCCTGTAGACGTAATACCCATAATCTCAAGCAACGGAAGTCTATATCTATTTGTTTTATATGTGGAATCCATCATAAATACAACATTAAATGAGTTCAACATTTTGACCGCATCAGGATGTGTCCAAAACAAGTCAGTAACAACCTCTGAATCATGAGCACACCTACTCCAGTGAATGTACTTATCCCGATCCAACAACATCATAAGTTGTTGTAGTTCAATTCTGGACCCTCTTAATGATCGTTTATACGCATGCATTGCGTTGTAGATTTGTTTAATCGTTGTGACATTTCGATCATTATTTTGTTTGAGTGTTAGTAAAATATTTGCAGGTGTAACTTTACTCTTTGTCATATCAACCAATAATGACTTCTCACTCGTATTTAACCTGCCAGCATAAGGGTGACCAACTAAAGTTTCAGCCAATCCATGGTTGTGATGTCCACACATCACCTTCAACACCCATCCGGCCCCATCTGAACATGGTTTACCCTTTAATCTAAACGGACATTCACATTTATGAGTGCCGTATACACTAGCCACTACATCAGCTTTGTATTTCCTATATTTCCCCCCTCTTTCACATCCAAGTATGACGAACGTTTTTCTTCCCTATACACCAGTAGCTATGTTAGATCTTATTATTACCACAACAAATCCTAAATTATAAGCCATCCCTCTTACCCATTGAATTAAGTGCTCCCGTGAACAAAATATTTCATTTGTTGTAAATTTATTTGTTAAATCCCTCTCTACAACTTTGCTAATTGATGAAGACAAATCAGATTTCAAACTACAACCAATTTCAGAATCCATATAAAGATATTCATCCATTTTAAATAATAATCACCTACAAAATTATAATGAGCCTTATTAACATAATTAATAATTAATCAAACAAATATAAAAATATTAATATAATTAAATTATATATTTGATATAAATCAAATAATAAGTAATTTTTATATCATTATAAAATTGTTAAATAATTAAAGATACAAAAATCATGTATAAAAAATATATATTTTACAAAATTATTACATTTAAAAACTAATTATATATAACATCCAAAATTAAAAATTTAAATATAAACTAATATAAATATACGTTATTAAAATACATTAAAAATATATTAAAAAATAATTAATTAAAATATTTAAATTAAATTATTAAAATATCTAATAAAATAATAAAACAAACCCAAAATAAAAACGAAACCTTTAACGGAGGACATCCTTCAACGGATGTCAACATCCGTTTAAGGTAAAACGGATCCGTTTTACCTTAAACGGATGTTGACATCCGTTGAAGGATGTCCTCCATTAAAGGTTTCGTTTTTAGTTTAGGGTTTTATACGAAGGGTTTATTATACGAAGGGTTTATTATACGAAGGGTTTATTGTACTACGCACCTGGAAGCACCACAAACTCACAGTACCACTTCACGTATTGCACCACTTCACGCACTATACTACGAGAGCAACACTATACCACTACAGAAGATTGCTTCCACCACCACCAACCTTTGCAACTTGTAGTATCTCTCACCAGAAAGAGAAATAAGTATTTTACTCATGCAAGGGACTAGATAGGTTATTAGTAAAATTAAAAAATAATAACCCTAAAAATAAAATTTTACTGAGGGGCAAAATAGTAAAGGGGAGGTGGAGGGAGAAAGGCGTGGTGGTGGAGGAAGCAACACCCTTCAACAACGCAATCTAAATTTCAGAAGCCCAATACAGCGGCCCAATTTAATTCAATAAGCTCCAATTGAAAAACAAAACAGGGCCCAATGTCTGCACAAAGAATGAATTAAAGGGTTAAAACAATATAAAAGCCTACAATAACAAAAAATTTTATTTATTTATTTATTTTTATGAATATTTTTCTAAAAGAGAAAATACCTAATTATTTAAGAAACCTATTTTATTTAACTAAAAAGAGAAAATTAACACTATTTTTGTTTAAAACCTATTTTTATCCTATTTAAACTAATCTACCTTAATTCTAGAAAATAAGAAGCTAATCTAACCTAAAAGAAAAGTATTAACATAGAAAAATAGGAAAAAATGGAGAGTTATCAAATATTGTAGGTTTACTTTCTTGGATGTGATTTAAATTTTAAGATATTTTTTCAACTAGGTCCATACAAATTCAAGGTCTTTTGAAGTTGTTGTTGAGCTTCTATTATGTGCATCTCAATACATAGATACAAAAATCAACCTTCATTTACACTAACCACAGTTTGCAACTCATTCTTACACTAAACACAATTTGCAACTCATTTTTTTCAAACACTTCAAACTGCACAATATCAATTGCCAACTAACAAGCCAAGCTATTCATTAACAAATAAATTTAACTGAGTGTATGTTATGGTACATAAATTTATCTATTGTTTTCTAATTTTTGTAGTGCTAGAAAGTTGTTTGTATCTATTGTTTTTATCATGATCTATGAGTCAAATTCAGAACAGGTTGCGTGCTAATTTTTTCTACCATTTTTCTTCAATGAAACACTTAACTATGCCATAATAACTGCTCAATATATTTTCAATATTGTTCCAACTTATTATATAAATGTTACTTTTACTACGAAAATAAGACTATCTGACGACATATTTTTTTTATTTATTAATTGTAATAATTGTTATTTTTATTATGAAAATATAATTGGTAAAGTTATTATGACACCTCAATTTCATCTATCATATCAAGTTGTCAGGAAAAAATTTTCCACCAATGAAAAGTTCAACTATGTAAAAAGTTAAGATAATGAATTTATGCATTTTTCGTCTTTAATGTTGAACTTTTTCAATTTAATCTAATGTAAAATTTATATTCATATTTTTTAATAAATAGTTTAAAATATATTAAGAATTTTTTAATATATTAAATTAATATATTAAAGACACGTAATAATAAGGATATAAAAAAAAGAGAATAAAATACCCGTTGTTGAAGTATAGATGATAAAGTTAATTTCTTCTCAGGTAACACGTTCTCGTTGAATTTTTCCACGTCCGGTGTCAATCATTCTGAACTACGAAAAAAAAAATTCATTTTATTCACATAATTTTGCAGAATAAGTGATCCCATCTACACAAGTAAAAAATATTTTAATAACGAATTGAATTTTTTTAAGGTTGAACGACGATGAAAAAAAAAATTGTAGATAATTTTACAATTTTTGCCAACTTTTCTAAGTAATTACTTCATCTTCTTCGTTGTACTTGAGAAGAAGGAACAAACGGAAGGCTTGCCGTTTTGACTACGTCGACAGTTTTGGTTTGTAGTGTGTTCATAACGATTTTAGACAAGGTTCTCTTTACTCACATTTTGTATGGTGAAAAATTCCTTTTCATTATATTGAATTATTATTTTAAGTATTTGATGAACGTATCTCATTAAAGTTAGTCTTTTCTAATTTTATTATGTTGTTGAAATTGTAATTGTGATTAATCGTAGAAATTTAAACACAAACAATACTGGAATATTTCATATTGATGGTTATGAAATTTTTTTCAATAAAGTTGTAAAATTAATTAGTTTTAACTGTAAACATATGATTTAGTTTTGTATCCGTAAAAATAAAATGTTTTATTTAGTTTTATAATTTATAATTAAATGATTTAAGATAATTCAGTTATCATGAGTAAATATTATGTGATTTAAATTATAAAAAAATGTTTATTATAGTTTAAAATACAAGGATTAAGTATTTATTTTAATCTTCATGAGTGACCGAGTTTTTAGTTATTTATTGTTTAAAATTTTAGAAATTAAGAAAATTAGAAAAATTATTGTCAAAGTTATATATTTATCTGCAAGATTAAATTATTTATAACAATGAAAAATAAAGAATCTTTTAATTACAACCCAGGGAAAACCTTTCAAATTGTTTAAAACATACTGACTAAAAATAGTCTAGTAAATATTTTAAATAAATTAAAGAAAGTGTCCAAATTATTGAAATCGTTTAAACCTATTTTAGTCCAACTTTAGAATGTGTATATATATTTTAAATTGTTGTACTCTATTTTTCTTTTATATTCATGTATATATCATGCTGCTAACTTTAGTTTTTCTTTGAGAATTTAATACAAAAAAGTAAAGTAATTATCCATGTTAAAATTTTAATATCTGATCCAACAAGTTCACATATATATATATTTTGTTTTTTAAAATGCGCATACTAAGTCTAACTTTAATTTTGATGGTAATTTCAGGTTCAATTTAAACCATTTATTTTATTCTCACAGAATCCATACTTAATTAACTGTGGCAGTGCATATTTGATTGTTTAGCCTTGTTAGCGATCATTTTTATTCAATAGTTTATTCAGTATGCTGCCAAAGTCTTGACTTAGTCATATATATATATATATATATACTAAGTCTAACTTTAATTTTGATGGTAATTTCAGGTTCAATTTAAACCATTTATTTTATTCTCACAGAATCCATACTTAATTAACTGTGGCAGTGCATATTTGATTGTTTAGCCTTGTTAGCGATCATTTTTATTCAATAGTTTATTCAGTATGCTGCCAAAGTCTTGACTTAGTCATATATATATATATATATATATAT